AAGCAGGGATCTGCCTCTCCGTGCTCCCTTCTGCCTTGGGTCGCTACATCGGCAGCTGGTTTGGGTCAGATCCTGTGCCCTTTTGTACTTGGCACCCTCCTGGCTTTGTCTTCCTGCTACCAAGGTCGGTGGTGTTGGGGTGGGGGTGGCGAGGAGGTCAGGTGAGGTGAACCCCTCCTGTCTGCAGCCATTTGGGGACATTTCTCAGACCGCAGATGTTGCGCGGTGGCACCTGGACCCTATGGCGCAGCACAAGAGGATTCTTGCCTCATATCCTGGGAGCAGAGCTGGCGCTTTGGATCCCCACACAGCAGGGAGCTCCCCCTCCTCCTTCCTCGTTGTTTGTGTTTATTCTAATGGGAATGGCTCCGTCCTGATTCACGGTGGCACCCGCCTGCTCGGTGACATGCCGGGCACGTCGATGGCACCGAGATGTGGCAGCTGCTGGGCGTCTCAGCTGTCATTGGGGCTTTTCTGCATCGCCAGGTAGCAGAAACCAAAGGAGATGATGAAATATAGCGAATGCTCAGCCAGCCGTGGCTGCAGCCATACCGAAAAGCCTAAAGCTGGATCCAGCAGCAGCCGCTCGCTGCAAGGTGTTCGGGGCTTAATTAGAAAAGAATCAGCTCCGAGATGGAACCGTTTGCAGTGCTGTGCTTTACGTGCTGTCATCCTGAAGGATACTGGAGCAGCGAATCCGAAGCCTGCACGTGATGCTTGTCTGAGATGTGGTGATACCTGAGTGCAGTGTTCCTACTTCTCCATGGCAACTGCTGCTGCCACACTGCACACCGGAGCTGCTCTCTTTGCTCATCACGATGCTCTCACTGTTGGAGGAAGGCACATCACTAATTACTTGTTGATGGAATTCTGCCACGTTAAAAGAGAAAATATTGCTGCTGCAGGAGCTCATTAAAAGGGGGGGGTGAAAAGTGAGCCAGGGCTATGACAATGAACAGGAGTTCCAGTCCCAAATGGGATCCTTCTGCACACACCACTGCAATTTGGGTCCGATGAAGGAGAACCCTATTTGGGGTTCGATGGAGGGGGGCCACACTGGAATGCAACAGAGGGGAGCCCAGTTGGGTTTTGATGGAGCAGAGCCCAGTTTCAGATCTGGTGGAGGAAAGCCCTCTTGGGGTCCAGTGGAGCTGTACTGGGATTTGATGTAGGAGAATTCTGTTGGGTTTCAGTGAAGCAAAGCTCTCTTTGGGATATGATGGAGGGGAGCCTCCACTGGAGGGGTGCCCTGTTTGGGTCCAGTGGTGTGGAGCCCTATTTGGATCCCATAGAGGGGAGCCTTATTTCAGATCTGACCAGAGGGGAGCCCTGTTGTGAACTGACAGAGTGAAGCTCTATTGGGGTCTGAAAGAGTGGAGCCCTGATTCGAGTCCGATGGAGTGGAGCCCTACTGGGGTCTGTTGGAGGGAAGCTCTAATAGGATCTGATGGAGGAGAGCCTAATTGGGGTCTGATGAAGCAGAGCCCTGTTAGGGATCCAGAGCTCTATTTGGGACCTAGTGGACTGAAACCCTTCTGGGATCAGAAGAGGGGAGTAGAGGGGAGACATGCTGGGATCTGATGGAGGAGAGCCTTACTGGGATCCAGTGGGTCCACTGTCTGAATTGTGGCTCGTTTACTTCATGCTTGGGAAAAGGCAGCAGAAAGGAAAGGGTTTCATCAAGTTTTACTGCCTGACCTAAATGCAGCCAGATGTCAAACAGAAAATTGAAGGCCAAAGAGAGCCGTAAAAACAGAAATATGGCTTGGGCAGGGTGGTGGACACACGGGGTGAGGGAAGTGGTGGAGGCTTTGACCAAGTGCCTTGCCTTGCTGCCCGACCCCAGAAAGAAGTGTGGGCAGGCGAGGAAGCTGATGGAAAGGAAGGGAGACATTGATTTGGGGGCCGTGTTGCTTACTTTGAGGATTTAATCACAGCATCTTCGGGGTGTGAGATATGTGTGAGACAGGAGGGTCTTCTGCAGAGTGCTGACATGTGGTTAATTCAGTGCTACTGAAATAGGGAAAAGCCACCCAGGAGGGTGGCAGGGACTGTGGAAGCAGCTCCCAGCAGCACAGAGGTGGCTGCAGTGGTACGTGAAGCATTTGCACTGCAGTCTCCTTTTATGGGAAGCAGTTCCAAGCAAAGCATGGGCTGACGGATCCCATATGGCAGACAGGTTTGTCGTGGTCTGGAGGCTGTCAGCCTGCTTAGGAGCAGCTCTGTTTTAGTATTGGAGGATGAGCACAGGAATGGTTTAATGGAGAATACGGAACTAAGAGATGCAGGTTTTCCAACCTCTTGTGGGGTTCATTCATTCTGTTCACCTTTTGGTTCCTTGAGCTCTGAGCCTGGAGCACCTTTGGGTGCTGTTGTGTGAATGCTGTCTGTTGGATGCATGTACAAATGTCAAAAAAACCCTCGTTCTTATTACGCTTATTTGCTGATTAAGGGTAAAACTGCGTAAATGGAGGGCTAGGGGAAGAACCCCGTTTAGATCACTCTTTAAAATAATAGCTATTAACATCATTGTAATGTATAATTATTATTAATCACTGCTAAGTTGCAATAATCGCTTTGCACATCTGTAGACTTCCATATTTTATAGTAATAATGAGCAGTGCATGGGCTTTATAGAAGGGACTCGGAAGATGGTTTTTAGACCCCAAAAGCTTACAGCCTTTGTTCTTTGGCAGAATGGGGGGCAGGAGGGAGAAATGTGGGAAAAGAAAAATCCAGATTTGAGGTTGATTCCTATTATTTATCATACAGGAGTGTATCTGGGTTGAGAACCAACATAAGTCGAAGGCTTTGCTGCTCCCCAAAAAGCTCTCGGTCGTCTTCCCAGTTTGCAGTGCTTTTGTTGCTCATGTGTGAGTTTGGGGTTTTGTTTCCAAGCCTCTTTGTATAAGGGCGAGATGAGATCATAGAATCAGCGAGGTTGGAAAGGTCCTCCAAGATCTTCTCGTCCAAGAGAGACTGGGAAACCTGCCTCTAAGATTTCCTTACCCATGACACCCAAAAGGAGAAGGTGGGAGCTGCTGGGAGAACAGCCCAAAGCTGGGGCTGTGCTAAGTTGGGATATTAAGCCTTGTGCTTGTTTGCTGACTTCAGATAAATCCAGTCCCTTTCAATCCACCACCTCTCCTGTTGCTAACGAGCAGAACACTGATGGGATGTGGGGACCTCTCCGTGCTGGTATGGCCCTTAGGGACCACAACACTGGTCCTGGATGTCCCCTTCTTCTGTAACACTTTCCATTTAATAACTGGCGCTTTTCATTTGTTAATTGGCACTAATTAGCTAAGGGGTGAGAGGCATGCCCTCCGCTGGGGCTCCATGCTCTCTCTCTGGGGCTCCTCTTCTATATTTTTCTCCTTCTTAACATGCCACATGATTTTGCTCAGGAGCTAATGTGCGATGTTGATCTCCATAATGAGCCTTTTTGACAGTCTGGGCACATTTGGGAATAATTCCTTGAGCAGACGAAATCCTTAGGCCAGAACTGCTCGTTCTCAGCGGTTTCCAAATGAAGCTGCAATTGTTCAGCAGTGACAGATGAGAAATAGTTCGGGAGCTGCAAATTGCACAAGCTGGGAACAGATTTCTCTCCTTCCCATCCGGAAGACACGTGACTGACTCAGATTTTGCTGGGTAATTTTATACCCATCTCCAACCAGTCTAAATATGCAGAGCAAGGGAGGGCAGGGGATGAAATCTGCGTCCTGAACGTGGGCCAGGCAGTGGTGGTCCTCCCCTGGGAGCAAAAAGGCATTTGGATTTTGGTACGTGCATCCAGTTGTATTTGCTCAGCCTCGTCCTCCTTTGTTCTTTGTTTTCATTGAGCATCAGTAAGAACATTTCTAAAATCTGCATGCATTGCACTCCGTGACCTTGGCTGCTGTCTCTCTCTGGAGGTTTGGCTAGGCTATCTGCAGGTCTCCTCACAGATGCATTCTTTGCCGTTTTGCAGGATTTTTCCCCTCTTTTTTTACCCTAATCCATTTTGAACAAGTATTAAAAATAGATTCTGGTGTGATTGCTGTTTCACCTCCACACCCAAACCTCCTCGCCGGACTGCTTGCAGTCGTGCTGGCTTCCTGCCGGAGAAGCTTTTCATAGAAGCATAGCATCACAGAACAATTGGGTTAGAAGGGATCTAAAAGATATAGAACCGTGGAATGATTGGGTTGGAAGGGACCTTGAAGACGACAGAACCGTAGAATGATTGGGTTGGAAGGGACATGAAAGGTCACAGAGCCATGGAATGGTTGGGTTGGAAGGGACAATAATGATCATAGAACCGTAGAATGGTTGGGTTGGAATGGATGTTAAAGAGCAGAGAGCCTCAGAACGGTTGGATTGGAACGGACGTTAAAGATCATAGAACCACAGAATGGTTGCGTTATGAGGGATCTCACAGCCCTCCAAATCCCACCTCCTGCCATGGGCTGGCTGCCCCCCACCAGCTCAGGTTCCCCAGGGCCCATCCATGGCCCAGGGGTGAGGCACCCACGCTGCTCTGGGCAAACTTTTCATATTTCTGTGGCGAGGTGGACAGACAAAACGTTTGATGTGGTCCTTAGGTATAAGAGTGTAATAGAGGCGGACCTTTTGGGTGCTGGAACATCTGTGTGCTGTTATCTGTGGTATCCTGCTGCGCACGGCAGGTTTGGATGGAGCATCTCACCCAACTCTGTCCTGCTGCCTTTTTTACTAAACATCATTGCAAAGGGGATCTCTTGAAGATGGCTGGAGAGAAATGCTGTAAGGTCATCTTCAGGGCAGTTACTACAAATTGGAAATGCAGAAATACAGCAAAACGTGTCCAACCTGCAGTAAACCACAGGAGAACAGCAGCCAAAGCCCAACCTGGCTGCTCTCTCTAATTAGCAGACGTAGGGAAAGTGAAAGACACGCCTGTTGACTGTGCCTGGAGGAGATGGGAGAGGGAAGCAGCCAAGGACCAGCACTCACTTCCCATCTTTTTTCTCCCCCAGGTCCCCTCGCTCTGCAGTCTCACAGCTGAAAGGATGGAGAACTCATCAGTGGCCTCAGCCTCCTCGGAGGCGGGCAGCAGCCGCTCACAGGAGATCGAGGAGCTGGAACGCTTCATCGACAGCTACGTGCTGGAGTACCAGGTGCAGGGGCTGCTCACCGACAAGACTGAGGGCGATGGTGAGAGCGAGAAGACACAGTCCAACATCTCTCAGGTTGGTGGGGACATGAGCCGTGGGGCTGAGCCATGCTAAAGGGTCTTTTCTAGCCTAGGAATGCAAGGAAATGTTGGATTCGGGGCAGCCACATATGAGGGTGCCAACAGTTGGTAAAGGTCTGCTGGCTGCGTTTTGTATTTATCATGAAGTGGCTTTGGGATGTGCCCTGAGGGTTTTTGACCACTCTCTGCTTTCTGTTTTGAGTGGAGTGTGCTGTACACAGGACATGGTACGAACACACGTGCCTGGAAACGATGGGTGCCATTATGGTGTCCCTTGGGACTGGGTGAACGCAGGTGCTTCTTCCCCCAGCAAACAGAGGGATGGCTTAGAGGAGGTGGGGTTCGGTGGTTTCATTAGGAGCAAAGATAACAATGCTTGTGTCCCTTTAAAAATTGACTTTTTAAGTCCTACACAAGGAGAAATTTAACCTCTTGAGCTGGTGGTGGCGTTTGAAGGAATGTCCTGGTGTCGTGGTGTGCTGGTAGATGGGGCTGGAGATGTGTGATAGTGGATGGGATGCAAGGTTCTGCAGTAGGATCCCTCTGTCCCAGTGGCAGAGAAATGCCGTGGCAAGGCAGTGCTTGTTCTGCAGAGAGATATGAGCAATCTCGTCCACAAGATGAGTGTAGGACGAGCATATCAGGTTGGAAGAGACAACTTCTCCAATGTTATTAGGAACTACTTCTCCAAAGAGCTGTCAGACACTGGCATAGGCTGCCCAGGGACAGGTGGTGGGTGCCTGACCCTGGAGAGATGGGGAAGAACCGTGGAGATGTGGCACATGGGGACATGGTCAGTGGGCATGGTAGAGTGGGTTGGGCTTGGGGAGCTTGGAGATCTTTTCCAACCTCCACAATTGTGTGATTCTGTGATAGAATCCTAGAAATTCCTGTACTGACCCATGACAATCACTGAATCCAAACCCTGGCCTCACAGAGCACCACCCAAACCCTATGGCTGAGAGTTCAGCTCCAGCAGCTCGGAGACATCCCACTGCCCTGGGCAGCCTGTGCCATGGCCAGCCATGGCATAAGGACATTACTAGTCAAATGAACCTTTGAAAGTAGGTTTTGCTGGATAGATATCTTCTGCAAATTGAGGATCAAAGCTGTTAGAGATGGGAGGAAAATTCTGGTGATCCCAAGCAGTTTAACGGTGTATTTGTTTAATCAGAGGCTGGGAAATGGCTGTGTTTGAAGTGATGCTTTGGAGGGGCTTCAGGCCAAACAGGCTGTTTTCAGCATGTCAAGTTGAGAAATACTACTGACTTAGAAATAAATGAATAGGCAGAGTTTTGCTTCGTGATTCAGAGCAGGCACAGTGCTGAGTAGTGGAACAGTTTGCCCTTTCCAATAAAGAAAAGGGTCTGTGAGATCTGGTGCTCAGTTAAAAGGCATCATTACACCTGAACATGAAGTGTGAGTGCTATTGGGAATGGGGTGGTGTGCCCACACTTCTGCTGTTCCAGCCAAATTCATCTTGCTGCATGTGGAAATGGGACTGTGGCTTTTCTGCATGACTTGAAAGCAGCTGCTGGCTATCCATAGGACAAGAAACGAGGGTGATTTACATGTGTCACCTGCTGTTATCAAGCCGTGCGTATGCTCAGAAGGAATTATCTGTTGTGTCCAAAAGATATTTGCTTTCCTACCTTCGTCATACCTCAGACTTGTGTAAGAAATAATCAGGGATCGTTTGTTTTTCTTCCTGCGTGCTCTTATCAAAGCAATAAGCATGCATGCACGGGCGAGCTGGTTTGTCAGCCAGGCTGAAGGCAGCAGGCTCCCTTTAACGAGAGCTGCAGGAGAAAGGATGGGTTTGTGGCTGGGCGCTGGACTGAGACCAAGAGAGCTGTGTTAGCTGCAGGGTTCTGCTGCCACTTAATCGCTGACTTTGGGCGAGCTACTGAGGCTCTGCAGTCTGCTTCCTCGTGGCAGGGAATCGAAATGGCTTAAGGATTAAGCAGGATCTTTCATCTTTGCAGAGGGAAAGTTACTTTATTGCTGTTACTACTTTCAGCGTTATGCTGTGGCTCTTCTTTTTGTTGTGGATTGGTAACCAGTGACCCCAAATTGAGTTGTTTTGATGCAGACACCTCTGTAATGCATTGGCTGAGTCAGCAGCTCTGTCTTCTGTTTCATTTAAAAACAAAGAACGACAGAAGAAAACAGAAAAGCACAACTTTTTTTTCCAACCCCCCCATCTTTAAAACCCTCTGTAACGATGCAACCCAGTGATGGCTGCGGCAGCTTCTCCAGCTTCCTGCCATTGTTCCTGGACCTTTCCTCTTGTGGCCATCACCAGGCAGAGCATTTCCCAGCCGGTGCCTTTGGGATCATCTCTGCTGGTCAGAGCGAGCCCTGTTGTTCTGGAACAGAGCTGGTGCTGCAGAGAGAAAGCTGTGGATGCTCCATGTCCCAGCATAGTCACAGTGCTGTTTGCTGGGTGATGTTTGCTGCGGGCTGATGCAGCAGTTTCCCCAGCTTGGCTATTATTTTACACAATGCCTTTCTATCCCTTTTGCAGTGGACGGCGGATTGTAGTGAGCAGCTTGATGGCAGCTGCTCCCCATCCAGAGGGAAGGGCTCGTCGTCCCACCAGCACAAGCAGGTAGGGGAGTGTTTAGTTCTTCCTCTCCAGAGCTTTTCTTTTTGTCCTTTTTCTGCAACCTGGGAATGCTGAGCCCGTACTTCAAGATCAGCATTGGGATTCCTCCTCCAGGAGGATCCAGCAAGGACACTGGGCTTGGTGGAAACCAAACGTGGAGGTTTTACTTTTGCATTCTTCAGGAGCAGTGTTTTGGGATGCTGTGGCTTGGACACGGTTGCATTTTCATCCTTTCTCTTTCATGGCTACATTTTTATTTATTTATTTATTTATTTGATGGTTGCATGCCTCAGTTTATCAATATCTCCTCAAACTCTGGGATGAAACACCTCCAGGTTCAGTGCTGTGAACCGGAGGAGTGCCTGTTGGGCTTCAGACTCACCTCGAATCCAGCAACGCTGTCTGGAGCAGGGAGCCTGGGGGAGTAGCACTGTGCATCAGGAGCTGCAGTGAGAGCCCACCTGCAGCACTGCATCGTGAACCCCAGCACAGGAAGGCTGCCAGAGCGGATCCCAGAGGAGGCACCAAGATGCTTGGAGGGCTGGAGCACCTCTCTTGGGGACAAGCTGAGGGAGCTGGGGGTTTTCAGTCTGCAGAAGAGGGGGCTCTGGGGAGACCTTCCAGTACATCGAGGGAGAAGGACTGCCTTCTTACATCAGCAGATAGTGATGGGTCAAGGAGGAATGGTTTAAAAAGAGGGGGAATTTAGGTTAGAAGGCAGTGAGTCCCTGGCACTGCTGCCCAGAGAAGTGTGGGTGCCCCATCTTTGCAGCTGTCCAAGGCCCTGGATAGGCCCTGGGCAGCTTGAGCTGGTGAGGAGCAGCCAGCCCATGGCTGGGGTGGGGTTGGGGACGTTTAGGGTTCCCTTCAAACCCAGCTATTCTGGGATCAGACCGGTTCTGTGGTCTTTAAGGACGCTCCCAACCCAACCATCCCATGGTTCTGAGACACCTTTTGCTTCTACTCTGCCACCAAAAGCCACCGAAAGGAGATGAGCATCTTGCCAACGTGTGTATACGTTATGCAAAAGCACCTATACTTCTACATAAGGTTTACCAATCCCAAAGAACGTATGCGAAGGCGAGCTCCAGTTCATCAGTTTAACAGCAAGGTAGTTACTGGGGGTGGCTGACCAGTGTCTCCTCTGGGATTATCCCCAGCAGATACTGGTGGCCAGCAAGATATCTGCACAATCCCTTCATACCATGGCCATGAATATATACAAACCCTATTGGCAATGGCAGCCCTAAGGGAAGCTAGAGCACAGCTAACATCCATTATGCCCAGGCTGCGCTCTGTGCTCTGCTTTCCCCACGTTTGGGCTCCCTCCCAGCCTGCAGCAGAGCTCGTAATTATCTCTCTCCGTGTTGGGCTTCCTTTAACAGCGAGGAACAAATTTTCCTTGGCACCAGAGAGGAGCTGCACGCTATTGTTCTGCTGCCCAGGCAGCCTTTTTCTTTCTGTACGGATATACAGCCGAATCACTGCTGGTGAGAGTGGGGTTCAGTGCATTACTCTTTCTGGATGCTTATTTTTCTCATTGGTAGCGTGGAAAGAAAAAAAAACATTAATGAGGTTTTTGTCTTGCACGTGAATTATCACTCCCTCTGCTCAGGAACAAAAAGCTAGCTAATCGTTTCCTGAGGGATGATGTTACCTTTTGTTTTTCACTGCAATTTGTGACGGGGTTTGAGATTTTTTTTATTGGAAAGGGGAACTCTTTTTTTTGTATTTTTGTATTTTCTTTCCAGCTGGGCATTCCACATTGTGCAGTAAGGCTGCGGGGAGGAGGAAAGCCCAGGCTTTGGTGCTTATGGGGGATCTCCTGACGTAGGTTGCACGAAGTCCTGGTGTGCTGAGTGGAGCCCAGTCTCACAGTTACATTCTGCTCAGCTATCGTTCTCCTGGCTCCCTCCTGGGAATGCTTTGGTTTGCTGCACAGCATGGCACTGATCCTGCAGTGCAATGGGCAGTGCCTCCAAAGGGTCCTTTGGGGTGAAAACATACCCTGTAGATATATGCAAGGTACTGCCTGTGCCACCACCATGCGTGAGGAAAGGTTGGATAATGGTAACATTTCAAATCTTCTCATGCTTAGATTTTTTTTTTTTTTTTTCCTTTCTAAAAACACCCACTGGGAAGATTTTATGTAATATACTATTTGCATTCCCCTCATGAGGCCGAAGCTTTGATATATTTCTGAGGGCAGTTCATTAAGCAAAAGGCTTGTGGTGTGTTGTGTATGGAGAGATCCATGGAGCTCTTGGATGTGAGAAGCCTGGCAGCAGCTCCATAGCCATCTCCCTGTCCTTCCACATGCCCTGGGGACTTATAGCATGACTAGGAGCCTTGGGGGCTTCTCCAGATGAGGGTCGTGTTGTCCACGAACCCTTGATGATGCCAAAAGTATGAGGAGCTCCCATGCCTCCACCAAACCAAAGCTCGTGCATGTGAATCCTCAGTGACTCAGAGGTGCTCAGTGCTGTGCTGGTGTCAAAATGCATCCCATGGGAAATGCTGCATGATGTGTCCCTGCACTGTGCAGGCAGAGGGCATCTGGGGACATGCAGCCATGGGGGTGTGTGACTGCTGGGGGTTGGGGTGGGGTTGGAGCAGACCCACTTAAGTCCCTTAGGACACTTCCCAGTGACTCACTTGAACCTGAAAACCCCTCTCTGATAAGCACTTGGCTTCCAACCATAGGAAGTTGTGTTAACACGTGAAGATGATTGACTCTGTTTCTGTGGCATTTTTGGGGCTTGCTTGGCCATCACACTGAAGGGTTGTTGGGGCAAGTGGGTGCAGCCAGACACAGCTGTCTGCTTTGTCTCATTCACAACAGGGAAAGAGAAGGCGAAAGTCAAGGAGTCACTTTGAGGCTCTGCCAGGGAATACAGGTTGGTGCAGCCCTGCCTCGGGAAGAAGAAATTAAAGCTGTAGGTGAGGTGGCCAGCCCTCAAAGGTGATCAAGGAGCTGCTCTGGCAGAACCGGTCACTAAGTGACATTCCATCTGTAAGTGCTGCTGATGCTCCCTTTGTGCAGTGAATGCAGCTCTGCTCAATCGTGGCTGCTGAGAAAGGAATTAAGCCATTCAGCTGATGCGTAGGTTCAGCTTGCTCTGGGACTTCTGGCAGCACCCTTTATAAAGAAACAACCTTGTGTTTGGTGGTTGATTTATCCCCTCTGTACTCCTTATCCTCTCTATAACTTCCCATCCCCTCCAGGTTTTGTCACATCAGTGTTTGTCTGGGACATGTGTGTACCAAAAGTAGGTGTGTTGGATGTCACCGAGACCTTTGGTCCTGAACTCTGTGCATTCTGCTACTGCTGCTGAGGGAAACCAGATGAACCTTTGTTCTCTCATGGCCATTCCTTTATTTAGGAAGTTTATCATGGTAATTTGAAGATTGGTTCCACTCTACAGCCAGAACTTCTCAAGGGTGATCTTTGCTGTCCAGAACATCTGTGTCTGTGCCTGTCCTGGCACAAGTGACACTGTCACCTTCCCTGTTGGAGTCTGTTTGGTCCCAGGACTGTTCTGGGTTTTTGATTATGCACTGGCTTAACGTGTTTTTTAAAAAATAGACATTTGAGATTGAGTGCATGATGTGACTTTCATATCCTTGGTTGTATTGGAGGTGCTTCCAGCTAACTAGCAATACTTCCAGGAAAGCAGCAATAATATGAGAGATAACGGCCTCAAGTTGCACCAGGGAAAATTTAAGTTGGATATTAGGAACAGTTTCTTTCTCCAAAGAGCAATGATGCCCTGGTACAGGCTGCCCAGGGAGGTGCTGGAGATGTGGCAGCTGGGGACGTGGTTGCTGGGCATGGTGAGGATGGGTTGAAGTTGAACTTGGGAGTCTTGGAGGTCTTCTCCAACCTTAATGCTTCTATGACCTACTTCAACCAGCTGTTCAGCAGCTGTTTTACAGAGGACTTGCATAACTAAGAGCAGAAACTATGGTAAGTGTGCCCTTATCTCAGGCATCAAGCAGTCAAGAAACACTCCACCTGAAGACACAAATTATTTGTAAAGGGAATTGTTTCTTCATCTCTCTTGTTGTAACTACTTGCTCTTTTTGTGCGTGGTTGTTTTTTTTTTTCTTCATGGTCTTTTTACAGGGGTGATTTTCTATTTTTGTTGCAGCTTTTTGCACTGAGTATAAAGAAGCTGGAAATTTGTCCCAGCCGAAATATTTATTTTTCCCCATGTTTTAAAATATTAAAATAACTGTTTCTATTGTAAACAGTTGTTTATCCATGGGAAAAAAAAAAAAAAAAAATTGGAATGCATGCTCATGAATTTGTCTAGAAGGGTCTGAAATCCTTGGTGGCTTGTAGGACACCCTCCAGCTTGGCCTAGATTGTAGGTCTGTGTTGGGATAGTTCATGCTGACGGCCATCTCAGATCTGCAGCTTGAGGCCCATGTCCCAAGAAGACCCTTTTATCTGCCCCACCTTAGGCTGTACTTTGAGTGTGGGAGATTTTCTGTAACATGAATCCCCTTTGGAATCCACTGTTGCCTTCAGTGGTGGCTTCACCAACAGACCAAACTTCACCTTTCCAGTGAGGACAACCACTTGGGGACAGCAGAATTTCCATTTACTGCATGCTCATCAGGGAAAGTTTTCCCTTCTGCGAGTGAGGTTTTCCAACGTGCACTGAAGCACCAGGAAGAAATAACTCTCGAGCTGGCAAAGGGAGCAGGATTAATTAGTTTGCACCGCAAAGCTCTGCGAAGGTGAAAATTGCAGCATAAGTGAAACATGTGATTATTGCTAATTAAAATGTAAATGTTGGATGTGACAGCTAGGAGGGTGGCTGGCAGGGTTGACATGCATATAGCCTCGCTGCTCCTAAGGGGTTGCAGAGTTTGGCCGGGAGGATTTGCATGGATAAAAGCAGCTGCTGGCAGTCTCTCTCCCAAAGAGGTGTTTGTCTCCAACCCCAAAATTTGGGATGGAGATTCCCTCTCCTGGTGGTGAATGTAGACCTGGAGTGGTAGCTGGAGCCTGCTGGGAATGGAATTCCCAAATGGAGAGCTGGGAATGAGAGCTTGCAGATCTTCAGGGTGTTGGAGGAGGCTGGGGGAGTCCTTGTCTTCTGGGGACGTGGGTCCCAAGGGAAAAAGGATGGGAGCATATAAACCATCGGCGCGCTTGGATTGCATTGTGCTGAGGAGGAAAGAAGGTGCTTTCTGCCACTGGTGTTACAGCTCGTGGGAACAACCACAGCTACTCAAAGCTGTCCTGTGCACAACTCAAAAACTGGTTGACTTTCCCTCTTTTGGAGTTAGTACTGACTTTAGGATATGGCAGCCACAAGGTGTTTGGGCTTTCTGGCTTTGAGGATGGGGAACATGCAGTGGGGCTGTGCAGAAATGGGCAGTGATGCATTTTACTTCGTATTAGGTAAATCCAACACCTTCCCTTCAGTCCTTCATGTTGGGTAAATCCTCCAGCCCCAGCAGGCAGAGAAGCACAGGAGACCCAAGCAGGACACGGGCTTTGCCCAGAATTAATCACCTTTTGAATATTTGGCATAATAGAGTTGAATATTCTGCACTCTTTCATTTGGGGATTTTTAATCATCTCAGGTCACTCCCAAAGCCGACTGGGGAGCCTCTGAGGAAAACTTCAGGAGCAATTACTCTGACAAAAACCCCTTTCTCCCCAAGCACCTTACGTTGTTTGGGTAAATAGAGCTGGTTGGGTTGGTTGTTCTTGTTTTGGCTTATTCATCTTGTCCCATGGGGTGCTGACTGAACAAGAAAGCTGTGGGATGTTTGACTGCAGAACAAGTGTGAGGAGAAGAAAGGAGGACATTAGGGACAACCCCTGGAGGGACAGAAGTTACTGGGGTAGAGTGTTGGGCTGGTGAAGTCCAAGTATTGTCGGGTGTAAGGGGAGCAGGCTAAGCAGGGAGAAGAAGCAAACGAAGTATTGATTTGGGGCACGCGGGTTCGGGTTGGCAGGAATTAAGGATATATCTGCAGTTTTAGAGGATGTAGGATGTGTATAATGAATTGTCATGCAGCCATAGGAGGTATTATTTTTCTCCACGCGTGAACTAGTTTACTGTAGTTAAATCTTCACAATCGTTTTTTATCTCTTTGCAGTGCGAGAAAATTCCATCCAGACGTATAAAAGGGCTCAAAGAAAAGGCAGAAATAGGGCCACGGTGCGTGGGCACGGTTCTTGAGGTGCAAGCGTGCGTGGCTTAGGAGCAGCAGATCTCCTTCTTGGCCAGCCCAGTGGTTCTGATGGGTGTGGGATGGCACTGCCCTTGACTAAAGCCAGCTGTTTGTTATTCCAGGAAGATTGGGATCACAGCAGCGGTGGGAGCGCAGGATCGCGGCCGGGGTCAGGCTCCAGGTGTGGCTCTGGATCGAGGTCTGGGAGGAGCAGCCAGTTCAGGCACACCACCAAGGTACAGCTGGTAGCCATGGGGAGAGCTGGGCACTGGCATCGTGTGCTCCGCTTGCTGTCTATCGGAGGTTTCCAGCGGTGTGCGCCGTGTGTGTGTGCCTCCCTGCAGGCTGTGATGCGTGTTGGTGTGCAAATTGCTGCCCTATTTGTGCCCAACCCATCACCTGACTGCTGAGGAATGCGGCTGTCCTTCGGCCTCGGCTTCTGCTAAGGTGTGCCTTTATGTTGGGCAAGAAGGTTGCAGCCGGGTGGTTGAGTGCAAAGGAAATTTGCTTTTTGTTCCTTGAAATCCCAGAGTACTTCTGAGGTGCCTGTAATTATTTTTTTGGTGAGTCTTTGTTAGAGGTTGACATAGGATTGACCATTATGAGCCTGAGTCAAGCAGCTCTCCAGGGCTAGATGGGGAGTTACCTCCCCACCCTACAAAAAAACATGGGTAGTTGGCTGCTGATGTGGTTTTAGGGCCTTTCTCTGCCTGAACTCAGTCCAGGGTCCTGCATCTGCATGCATGAGTGTTGGTTGGGGCCAGCATTCAAAGTCCTTGTCCATCCTTGCATCTCAAGCATTTTGGAGAGCATGAAGAAATGTCCTGAGTGGTGCAGCGGTGGTTTGGGGCTGAGGACTGAATGAGGAGGAGACTTCTGCTCCAGCAGCACACACCACAGGATAATCCCTCTGTTTACACCACAGGCAGCATTGAGATCACTTGGTGCTGCTCTCTATTAGCACAGAGCATGGTGATGAGACATGTTGTTGCAATCGTGCCACGAGGAGCGTGATTTTGCACTTGCAGAGATTTGCTGGGGAATGGTAATGAGGAGTGGCAGGAGAAACCGGTGTGACACTGAGCTGGCTTTGGAAAAAAAAAAAAAAATAAGGGCAGCCTGCATCTAAATGCTGACTTTGTGGGGAATTTGCTGAGGTTGCACGTGTAAGTAAACAGGCAGAGTCCACGTGGCGGGTGGCATGCTCTGTCCTCATCATTGTGTATTCTGGGTGTAGGTTTTGGTCACCTGAGTGTATGCTCATGAGATCTGGAGGACAGAGGCTATGAAAATGCATTTAAACCATTCTGGGGGGTAGGGTTCATTTTACTGAATCTCTGCTGTCTCTGAGCATTGATGACATTCTCACCACTGCGTCACTCAGTCATCATTCGTGTTGGCTTAATTAATTTGCAGCAGTTCTGTCCCCTTCACTGTGAAAATTAGTATCTAAAGCTGAGGGTTGGGTCATGGGGAGCTTCATATTAAAACTGCTCACCTCTGTAATTGCATTCCTATTAGGGCTGGCAGCAAGGAACTGCTTCTCTTAAATACACGCCATTTATTTTTTCTCCTGGACTTGAGAATTGGCTTTTTTTAGTCCTACAGCAGTCTCATCAGCATGCTGAGACTCAGTTACCAAGTCAGGTCATCTGAGGCAGCAGAGACTTGGAATGACCACAGTTTCTCACGACTCAATGACAGATTTCGTTATCATTGGGCCCCAGTGCCATTGTCATGGAGTTGGGTTGGTACCTGGAGCATCCCTGGGAGGTGGTGGGGGCATGGGCTGGGAGGACCAGGAGCTGCAGCCCGGTGTGAGTGGGAGCACCCAGACACTGCCTGAGCACTCGCACCTCTCTGACCTCCTCCTGGACCACTGCATGTGAAGAAGACCTGCAGTTTCCACTAATAGCTGGGAGTTGGGTCCAAACTGGCTGCAACGTGTTGTTAGGAACCCATTCCCACCTTGTCAGAAATTTTGGCTTTTTAGTGTCTTGGTTGTTGATTGGTCTCGTTTTCATTGCAATTGCTTATATGCTCCCATCCTTACCCCCTCAGCCCAAACACTTAGCTCTTGGGACATCCCATTGGAATTGGTTCATTGACTTAAATATCCTGTGCTGGTAGGAAGTAGAAAGAGAGAGAGAGATGTCAGCAAGAAGAATTGGTTAAAGACACCTTTAACCAAAGAAAAAATAAAGACCAAAGACCAAAACCTTGAAGTCTGGAACTTCGTGTAGAAATTGTCTTTTTTTTAAATTATTTTTTCATTATTTTCTTTGTTATTTGAAAACAGCAGTTCCTGAGGAAAACTTTATGTGGTGTTGTAAGTACAGAAGTGGTTGTGCCTGTGTTGAAAGAGTGTTGTGTCTACGAGGAGACAAACCTGTTTGTTGAGGAGTATTGGTAATAAGTAAGTGTATTATGAATAGGAAATAGCATATCCATCCCACATGAGTCTGAGTTGAGTCTGATTTCGTGACTGGCCCTGACAAAACCCAACATGCTTGTGAAGGGTGATGAGGGCAGCCCTCTGCTTGTTGGGGGGGCACGTGGGGGCTGGTGATTGTAGAAGGTGATTGTAGAAGACACAATTTAGGGTTTTGGCTTAGATGCTTTTCCATTGGGGAAAAATTGGAGCTTCAGTATGGAGTTGTGTCCTACTGTGAGACATTGGTAGAGCAAGGAGAAGCTGTGTCACCATGATTCCTTGAAGAAGCAGTACCACAGTGATGTTGTACAGATGTTTCACCTTGTGCTTCACTATAGGCTTTCCATGTGCTTGTTGGTGACAGCCCTTGGAGGTATTAGGAGCCATCTAGATGTGGCCCTTTTGACCTTGGTTGGACAGGTCACCTTGGAAGTGCCTCTCTGCATCAACCAGCTGGGGATTTGTGGTTGGAATGCCAGCCTGCCCTCTGGGTCTGTGTTTCTTGGAGGCCACATGGCCACATTGGTACTGAGTGTTGGGTAGGAGGATGGGGCCAACATCAACCTACGTGTTGTCTGCTCTGTGTTGTCCATAGCTTTGTGTCCCAAAAGGCTGAAACCTCCCCTTCCTGCCTCCAAGTGCACTTTTGTAGCTAGCAAGGGGTCTGTGTGTCACAGCAAGGCCTCTCGATGTGGAACTGGGGAATGCTGGCTGCAAAGCAGAGCCTTGCACCATGTAACCACCTCTCCATCCTTCCTAGAATGGCAACAAGGAGGGCTCCCTCGACATGCTGGGCACCGACATCTGGGCTGCCAACACCTTTGATTCCTTCAGGTAAGCTGATGTTAGAGATCTGTGAATGGGGCCATCTTGTTGGTGCTCAGGTGGGCGCTGCCACGTGGCCTCCATCATTGCCCCTCGCATAGTCCATGGCACTAAGCACTAGCAAACAACTTTCTAGTTGAATATTAGGAGAAATTTCTTCTCCAGAGAGCATTGATGCAGTGCACAGGCTGCCCAGGGGGGTGGTGGAGTCACCATCCCTGGAGGTGTCCAAGAACCGTAGAGATGTGGCACTGAGGGATGTGGTCAGTGGTATGGTGGGGGTGGGTTGGGCTTGGGCTTGGGGATCTTAGAGGTCTTTTCTAACCGTAATGATTCTGTGAATGCACTTAAAGCATTGTGTGTGCTTAGGAGAGGCCTGCTGCCAAATGTCTCAGAAAGGCACTGTTGGCAATCGTCTGAGAGCTGCACAGGCGAGGCTGAGCTCTGAGCTCTGCTCCTGGCCTTCTCTCTTCCACTAACTGCTGCTGTGATCATGTGTTTGCTCTGCAGCTGCTGAGCAAAGCTGCTGCTTCAGCATGAGGAAAAACAAGCGTGCTTCCCTGCTCAAGCAGCAACAGCTCAAGCAGTGAAATGTGCCTTCTGTCCAGTGATAGACATTGCTGTGCAGGGGTCAAGCTCTCACTGATATTTGCTCCAGGTCACTGGAGTGGGGAGAGCATCTGCATTGCACAGGCTGGAGCAGCCTCTGCTGCAGTACCTTCTTGGTACAAATTGCAAATACAGGTAGCAAGGCGTGTGGTCTTCATGATGCATCTGGATCAAAACTATGACTTAGTGCAAGCAGCAGAAAAAAAATCACAGCACTGCAGTGTGAAGTTGGAGGCCTGTGGCATCACACTGCACAGGTGGTGCATCCAAAGCACCAGCTGTTCTTCATCTGCAGGCTCAAGTTTGCTCCTGTGCTCTTAGCGTGGTTTTATTGAATTAGCAGAGCATTCATTCTCTTTGTCCCTCTTTGTTTTCCTCTCCCAGTGGTGCGACGTGGGACCTGCAGCCTGAAAAACTAGATTTCAGCCAATTCCACAGGAAGCTCCGAAACACCTCCAAACACCCACTGCCCCACATCGACAGGGAAGGGTGAGTGCCACCTGCGTGCAGCTATCCCAGCCCCAGAGCTACAAGTGACGTGATGCCCTCCAGCAAGAAGAGAACTTCTTTGCAGTGGGAGTGCTAGCATGATGGCATGGTCCATATGAAGGACCTGGAAGAGCTGGACCACAGTCAGGGTCTGAGATCTTGGCCATCTTTGGCTCATGTGGTTTAGAGCAACGCTGTTTGGTGTTTTTTTGCATTGCTTTATAGAATTCATTTCTAAGCCACGCTGGATCCAAGCTACACTTAAGAATGTTTTAGGGAAAGGTCATGGTTACAGTTCCCGCAAGTGATAGGGCGTCTGTGGAAGAGCAGAACTGAGCATGGCCCGTGCAGATCGCTATTTCATTCAGTGCAAGTTCTGTTGAACACACCTGATTTCCCTTAAATTGATTAGGTGTTAGTTAACTTCAGCTGAGGCTCACGTTTCTTACTGCTGCTGTTACCAAGAGTGCTGTAGTGCTGTGGACAGGCATGGTGCAGGGTGATAGGGCTGAGGCATCATTTCATTTGGTGTCATTGGCTTTGTGCCTACGTGAGAGTGTTTTGGAGATGAACACAATGGCTTCAGAGACCTTTTTCTCTTTATGAGAGCCTTCTGCAGTGAAAGCTCATCCCTGTGTGCCATCACAGAGAATTAACGTTGGTTCCAGCGAGGCTTCACTGCTCATGTTTTTGTTTGCTCTCTCTCTACCACAGGCTTGGAAAAGGGAAATACGAGGATGGTGACAGCATCAATCTGAACGACATCGAGAAGGTCCTCCCAGCATGGCAGGTGGGTGCTGATATGGGCAGAAACCACTCATGTCTACACAGGGCTCAGATCTTAGAAAAGGAGCTTCTGAAAGCACCAGGCTCCAAGAGCTGCCCAAAAGCAACACGTGCTGATCCAGGTGTTCCCCTCTGCAGTGCACATGCCTTGTATGTAGTACCACTGTACTTGCTCCTTTTCTCAGCCTGATTCTTCTCTGGATCTGTCCCTATAGCTGCTTTTTGTGGTTAAATGACCACAGTGAGCGCTGGGGAAGCAGTGCTGTTGAAGAGGTCGGTTTGTGTCTCAGTATTTCCCAGTGCCCCAGTCCTGAAAGCAGCTGTTTTCTCGTACGTGCTCAATCTGTCTAGACTTTAGGTCACAGGGGAAAAAACACTGGGGCCTGCTGATAACAACCCAATGACTCTGCAGAATGAGACTGCTCTCCCTGGGGAACCATTGGAATAACTAAAGAATCAAAAGGAGTTTCCCAATGTACTGGGACTGCATTTCTGGGGCCACCAGCTGTGCCCAGTACCATGTGCTCCGAGCTAGAAGACCCAGTGAAATGCTTGGTTTGGTGCTTTGTGTTTTATTTTGATTCAGTACTTTAGTAGAACACTGTGTGATTTGGAGATGTACCCACCCTGGTGTGCACTGTGTGCATGTGGGAACCAGGAGTCCTACAGTTAGTGGTGGGGATTTGTCTTGTTCAGCATTGACAAGTGAAATGCTTTCTGACAGCTGCTCTAATCCAGATGTGTCATGCACTGGATATGAAAGTGATTGTGGAGAGGTCACGCTGCTCTTTAGTACTTTAGAGAGCTCTTTGGGATACAGTATGTGGGAGTGTTGGGGAAAATACAGTGTGAGCATATAAAAGAAAATCTTTTGCCCTTTGGGGGGCTTTGCCTCTCTGTGTCATATGCCCTAAACAATTTCTTCCCAATGGAGGTGCACAAATCCTTGTTCTATCTGTGCTTTAAGGTCTCATGGGTTGCTTCTGGTCCAGCTCTTTGGGCACACCTTAGCATCATTCTCCTCTGCTAGATGTGCTGCAGCAGCTCCAGCAGTTAAAGCACCAGACTGCAGAGGGGCAGTGAGTCTTACAGGTTGCTTTGGAAATTCTTTGTCATGTACAGCATGAAATTAGGGTTAATTTCCAGAACACACTCAACTTCGTATCTGTATCTCTACTCTTGTTTTCACTGGCCCACTGATGGGTGGGGCAGAATATTCTGGATATGGGGACATTAATCCATAGACTTGAGTTTTGGTGGTAGAATCTATCAGCAGTATTTCAACGACACATCCATTGCAAGGGACATCCATGTCTTTTTGGTGAGAAAAGAAATACGGAACAAAAAGAATCGGGAAAAAAAAAGAAATAGGAAGAATTAACCGTCCTCCAAATGCTCTTTCCATCACCAAGAGAGAAATGCTTGTTCCAGCCTTTTGTTTCGCCACTGCAGAAAGTGTTCCCTCTGCTCGGTGCTGCTCTGCCATCTGGTGGGAGCTGCAGGCAGAGCCCTCCTGCTCGCTCCTCTTTGTCTCTCCTCGCTCATAGGATCTGCAGTTGGATTTGGGCACTTGTTTGCCCAAGTGCTGCCAAAAAATGGCTTTGGAAGAAAATGTGAAGATGAGTATTCTCCGGTCAGAAGGGCTTTCAGACACGGCTGTGTGTGCTGGGTGCACATACAGCCTGCAGACTGAGCCCTCAGCCACGTGGGCAGGTAGTGACATGGCAAGGGGCATTAATGAGGAACACACTGTTGGCATCCTTTGGTTTGACATCTTCACAGCCTTGCGGCTCACTGCATCGAGTGATGTGTTCAGTGCTGGGCTTCTCACTACAAGAAAGACAGCAGGGACCTGGAACGTGCCCAGAGAGGGGCAGTGGAGCTGTGAAGGATCTGGTGGACAGGTCTTATGGGGAGCAGCTGAGGGAACTGGGATGATTCAGCCTGGAGAGGAGGAGGCTCAGGGGAGACCTCATCGCTGCCTACAACTCCTGAAAACAAGGAGTAAGGTGGGGGTCAGCTTCTCCCAGATCACAGCAGTAGGACGAGTGGTGGTGACCTCGTGTTGCACCAGGAGAGGGTCAGGTTGGATATTGGGAATGATTTCTCCAAAGAGCAGTGATGCAGTGGCACAGCTGCCCAGGGAGTGGTGGAGTCACTGTCCCTGGGGGTGTCCCAGAACCATGGAGGCACTGAAATGGGCTGCCCAGGGAGGTGGTGGAGTCCCCTTCCCTGGAGGTGTTCAAGGAACGTTTGGATGTTGTGTTGAGGGATATGGTTTAGCAAGAACCATTGGTGATAGGTGGATGGTTGGACTGGATGATCTTACAGGTCTTTTCCAACCTTAGTGATTCTGTGGTTCTGTGATTCTGTGAGATGTGACACTTGGGGACATGGTCAGCGGGCGTAGTGGGTTGGGGTTGGGCATGGGGGATCTTGGAGGTCTTTTCCAACCTTAATGCTTTGTGATTCTGTGGTTCTACTCTACGATTAATGTCTTTCAGTTTTCTTTCTGATTTTTTTTTTAACCTTTCCATTGTGTGCTTGGAATCAGAATGCAAGGGCTAGTTTCCATTGTGTTGTCTATATAGATGTCTGAACTGCCCTGAGGGTAAAGAGCAAGAGTCCCAGTGGGAGCTCCAAGCTGGGGTGACATCTCCCCTTTCCTCCCCCCCTCCCCAGCTCCTGCTGAGCGTGTGGGCACAGCACCGCCTTCAGAGGAGGTTTCAGTCTCACCAGCCAGCTTCCCATCTCCCAAGGGTCTTTCCAATACTGCAACTGCTACAACTGCTGCGGAAAGCCCCTGGCAGAGAGCCATGGTTGATCATAGGTCACAATGCACTGAGACTCACACCCCTGCTTGCTGAGCAAAAAGCCTTCGTTGCTGTGATTTCCAGTAAGATCTCCTCTTCCTGCAGTCCATTTTGCTGTGGCATTGAACCCAACTGGCAAGGACCATTTCGTTGGGAAAAGGAGTGGGCTGGGGGAGACGTGGTTGCCTGTAACCCTTCAGTGGGTGGTAGAGCAAGGGTCACTGTTGACCACTGAAGGCATCTCCATGCAGCTCGTCAGCTCGAGGCTTCTTGCAAGGGACAAACAGCAGTTCTGGCAGTAGAACAAAATCTCTTTGAAGCCCTAAAACAGGTTATAAAAACAATGTTTTCTGTCAGACCATCTGAAAAGGGAAAATCTTCCAGTGGGTTTTTTGCTTTCTGAGGGTCTTTTGCGTCTCAGACCTACAGCGAGATGCTGTCAGAGGGGAGAAGGTGGGGGTGGTGCGTTCGTGCCCTGTGTGTGCAGCTGGGTTCCTGTTCAGGGGGTGGAAGGGGTGAGGATGACTGACCTCACACCCCTAGGTTGCAGGTTTTGGCAGCTGGAAGGCGAAGTCACTGTGACGTCTCAGTGGCTGCGCGATGGGGAACCAGAGCAGCCAACGAACAGCGCAGGGAGCTTGGCCTTGGGATTGCTGCTTGGTGACAGCTGGGACAGTGCACCCTGCAGCACTAGAGGGCACTGCAGCACCGCTGCACAGCTCCTGAGCGGGCTCCGTGCAGAGGACTTTATTCCAAGGGCTTTTTCCAAGCGTCAAAATGCAGCGTCTCCCACCCATCCTGTGCCCAGGGGTGGGACAGGGGTGTTCTGCAGCCACAGTGCCACCCAACTCTTCTTGGAAATCCGACGGCTCCACTTGTGCCCTTTGGCCAGTTTGCAGGGCTTTTGCAGATGTGGACTTGCAGTGTTGTGCAAGGGTTGGTGCCATACAACTTTCCTCATGCCAAAGAGCGGTGATGTGTGTGCTGGGAGGTCCTCACTTGCTCTGGAAGGTGCTGCTGCCCCTTGGATGTAGGGACTCATCCTGTCCACCTTCTGTCCTTTATCTGCCCCGTGCAGAAGGATGTGCCAACCTCAGCAGGAGGGCATTGGGGACTGCAGTGACATCCGCTGCTGAACCACTGCTGTTTCTCAGACCCCAGTTGTCCAGGTGCTGGTCTGCCCTCAGAACAAGTGATGGAATTTTGGATGCTTTATGGCTTATCTTCAGAGCAGGATGGAGCTGCAGCTCTAGGCTGGGCTTACCAATGGGAATTGGTGGGGTTTGGAGGAGCTGGTGGGATGCAGAAGAGAAGCCTGGCAGCAAGCAAGTAATGACTAAAGCTCTGGTGAGAGGAAGGGGTGGAAAGGGAAAGCATGTAGGGGTGGGCCAGGGAAAATATGCTGCATCTTCTGAGCAGGAGCAGCCGGTTTGCAGCCGGCTACATGGACATGAACAGAGAGGATGAGACAGTGGTGCTTGCAGGGCAGGGATGGAAGACCCGATATTTTGTTTATCAGAGTTCACCAGTAATTCTAGACCTGAGAAATTGGTCTTCCAGGGAATTTGCTGGTTTGTGGATTGGGACTGGATTATAAAGAGCAATGCTATGGACATCTGAGGCTCTCAGACATTGCCATATTGAACTCTGGCTCGAGCCCAGCAGAGAGCAGCCCAGGCTTTCCTCAGGCTTCTAGCTGACTTTCCTTTCAAAAAGATTTGTTTTCATGCAGCTCTATGGTACCTAAAGAAAGCCTGAAAGGTTTTGTTCTTTCCCAGTCCTTTCTGTATACCTTAACACTATTCCCTGCCCCCAAAGTCCTGCCCGAATTTTATTTCGACTTCTAAATGGTGTTACATCTCCTTTGTTTTCCCAGAGGATTCATTAGAAACCTGAGAGGTCTTTTTTAGCACTGCCTTGAATTCTGCTGAGTATTTTCCCGAAGTCAGTTGCGAAGCAGCATGAAGTTTAAAAAGTTGTTGAAAGGAGCAGAACAACAGAAAAAAAAAACCCAGGTTTATAAAGATCCCAAACAAAAGCTGAGTTCTTCTTTGGCCAAGCAGATTTCTGCTGGCTTGGCCACTTCCACATCTTAATCCCCTTCCCCATTCTCTGTGAAATAATTTTTGATAAAATACAGGGAAAAGAAGGATTTCTATCCACAAAGCAGAAGGACGGGCACACATTCCTG